TACTGTGTTTTGTCTGGGGAAGGGTGAGCAAACAGTAGCTATGCTGTCATTCACACCCTATATCTTTAGTGTCATCACGGAGGGGGAAACTACAGGCCTATATGTCACGGGCCTGTATGTACTATTCTGCAGGGACTGTCTGCCAGCAGCCAGCCTTGAAATAAAGAGAAAGATGGCTTTCACTGTAAATAAGTCAGACACAAGGATTGCCATCCAGGAGCTGTCTTTTCACTGAAAGGGGAAATAATTTTACAAAGATGTACAATATGCACTTCTTCCCTAATGCTTCTCCAGTCTTATCTTCGCACAGATGATGATGGTTAACAAAAGGCCCTTTTATGAAATTGTTCATATTTCCGCTGAGGCCTTTCTCCTGTCGTGAGAGGTGATTGATGCATCAGGCCAGGGCCAGTGTCTTATTTACACAGTTGAGTGGGGCAATCTCAGGCCTGAAAGATAAACCTAATGAGCTTCTTTGTGTAAGGGTGCAAATGAGAGATGCCATCCTCCCTCCCTCCTTCCCTTCTCCATCCAAGGGGACAGTCTGGGTGATTAGGCCTTTAAATTATACTCAAGGGCAAAGCCCAGATTTGCATCTTAGGTGTGTGTGTGAGTGTGTGTCCTTTCAAATACAGGATGGAGAGAAAGACAGAAAGACAGGTGAAGGGCAGAGACAGAAAGATGCTTGAGGCTTGTTTGCGAGAGGTGATGGTAGGTGAACATTATGTGTGAGTATTTACCTACACTAAACAACATACTTGAGTTGTTAAAAAGGAGGTGTCTGTCAAATGAGCATGCACACACATACACACTCACACACACTGTCATTTTGTCCTTTGTCTGTGAGGTAACTTTCTCCCTAATGATTTTCATTTTGGGTAGAATTTCATTTGCCCCTAAACCGTAAATATTACCCATCTCTTGCAGTCAGATTTCTCATCCCTTCTATTTCCTCCAGCTAAACAGCTTGGAAGGCAGGTTAATTGCTGTCACTCTCAAGTTGGACCACTGCCTAGCTCTCATGTAGGTACAGGGGTAGCCTAGAAGTAAGAAGGCACCTAGGCGCACTTATTGTAATTTATGTTAAAATGCTGCAGTCATTTAAATGGGGTTGGATAGTTTGCATTCTGCTGCATCATGTGCCTCAGGACAACACTAAAATGCATACCTAACTAGTTTACCAACATGTAGATCTTTGCCTGTGTCTCCTCCAAAACTGTTTCTTTGAGCAAAAGTAAATAAATATTTCCCTCACAAACAAGCAAAAAATTTCACTTAAAAAAAAAGAAACAAGAAGCAATCACAAGTCAGGATTTCTGAAATAGCAGGCATTAAGATGTTTTACAATCTTAATCTGCAGCCAATATTTTCCAATTCTGTTTGGATTTAATGAGTGAGCCATTTAGATGAGCAATAGGGTCTAGTGACAAAAGGTTGTCCCCACAGCTATCTGAAGGCCTTTGGTTAAAACGATTGACCTGACCACAGTACACGAGCCAGGGCCTCCAATCTGCTCTGAATCTCAATACACTTCTAACAGTAGTGAACACATTACCATGTAGCAGTAGCTCTGAGTGCTGGCTCATCAATACCATTGATAACACTGGCAGGATTAAGTCTACAGACCATCAAGTAACAGGCTCATTACGGGACATTATGGTATAGATCCAAAGATCAATGCATGATAGAGTACATAGCAACACAAAATATTAATACATTAAACTGACTCCAGCCAACTGAGTGAGCTCAGCACTTTTTTGCTTCTTTTTTTTTAACAATGGCACTTTTATAGTCATCATTTTAGCATAGTAATTAGGGTTATGAAACATTCATCATTTGCTCTGATACATATCTGCAGCTGGCAAATTGCAATCAGATACAGTGAGTATCTAATCTGTGATTGCAAATCAAATTAGGTCTATTTAGACAACTTTGGGAATGGGGTGATGAAACCCTGACAGAAATTAAGGGCTGGAAATTTAATTGTGACACAATGGTTGTTATTGAGATACGTGGATAACTGTGTGTGTGGGTTTCACACTGAACAAAAGTTTGTACAGGTTCAAAAGGTTTGAAGCCAAATAAGAAACTAGTGTGTTACTTGTTTTGTTAAATGAAAAAAAACTCAAGTATCAATATTTGAATTTGAAAAAATAGTTCCTATGTGTGTCTTGATCTGTGTCCTATGAGCCTTTGGTCCAATCTAAGACGACAAGACCTTAAGACGCTGCTTTTCTAATTATAGCTGCAGGTGGTATTTTGGAGCTGCTAGGTAATGGCAGAACCCACAGGGATAGTGGAGAATTCATCAGTGCTTATTATTAATCATCCCCCCAGCAGCGTGATGAGAGACTGGAGCTTCTATACCCACCGGACCACTCAATGTCATTCCAAATATGGGTGGAAAATTACACCCAACAGCCTTCCTTCAAAATGGACTCTCAGAGCAGACATGGACTAGAATGTTTTAGCTGCACGTGACTGCAAAAAAACAACAAAAAAAACAAAAACAAAGTGCAAGCATAGATAGATGTATACATACATGCAAAATGTCACTCACCCACACACACACCTGACAACATGACAAGCACTAGCAACTGCAAAATAACAGCTTTGTGCAAACAAATGTATGTAAAAAAAAAAAAAAACATGCCTCCTTCCTCCTTAGACTGAGCAGGAAGTGTGTGTGAAGTTAACAGCACAGGACCCCTGTTTTAAAAAGCCTCCAGAGACCTGTTCACTGGACTGCTCATTTCAATGTGTCTGTCTCTGGGTTGGAGGAAGGCTCAGGCTGACCTCTTTAGAAGATACACACTGTCATACACCCCTGCACCCACCACCCATTCACCACAGCTCTCAACCATACGTCCATCTCAGAAACTTAACTAGACACTTTATGCTTACATCGCTTTTCTCTCTCAGTAGTGTTGCTTCATTTTCTTAATGGCGCTGCTGGTTAGTTTTTAGATTTACTTACTGAGTTTATTTTTACACACACACACACTTTTCTCTGCTTGACTCGATTAGACTGATCCTAGTAATTTAATCTCATAAATCACTAAATGTATTGCTCAGATCTGCGCAGTATTCAATGAAATTAATGTCACAAACATTTCTTTTACACACGTATTATATATATATTCTCCTAACAAATAATAAAATCTAAAAAACATTAACAAAGAAATTCCTTCAACAATTCTTTCCAAGATACTCGTGGTGCAACCTGCAGTTTATCCTGCTCTCTATCTCTTGCTATTTTACCCTCTATCTGCACATAGCATCGAGACAGATTAAAAGCAGCCCTCTACCCAACACCTTCAAATGTAAAAGAGTGATGAGAGAGAGGGAGAGGCTCGACCTCAATCAAGTGTCTGTGTGTATATAGGACAAGTGGTAGAGTGGTGATAAATGAGAGGGTAAGGCCACAGTGCTGTGATGCCGCCGCAGCCACCAGCAGGACCTCTGGGGTTGCACCGTGGATGGAGGATGGGTGTTGGAGTCAGATGAGGGTAAAGGGGATGGAAGAGGTGATGGTGAGAGGCCTGCAGGACATGCTTCATTTCACTACACTGAATAGCCCCCCCTACAAACCCACTGCATACACACACACACACACACACAAAACGCATCGGCATCTACTGTATTGCCCTGACCAAACTGACCACGGGGTTTCAGCTGCCTCCAAAAGTACACACCCATGTAAACATACATAAACACACACTGGCATGAAAATTCACAAGTCAAGAGGACAGCACGCATAATTACAAACCCGCAGCATTGTCCCATTGTCCCCCAACAACCCCAAAGCACGGCCCTCCGACCTCATCTCCCACTGCTCTTTTGGTGAACTGTCAAAGCCATCATTCACTGTGAAAAGACATGAGAAACACTTGACTCTTTCACTCTGCTGGCTACTGACTTTCACAACTCCTGCCCCCCAACCGCACCTCCCCTGCAGTCCACCCTCAACTTACTCTGACAGAGAACAATATAGTCAGCACAACAGAACATGAATCTGAAGAAAGAAAAGTTAAAGAGACTGAAAGCAGAGCATCAGATATTTGGGATTACTTAGTGGTACCTCCAAATGAAACAGTTGTGTAAAATCAATACAATAAACAGGAGGGGACAATATTATCAAGTTGGTCAGAAAGGGACTGATCTCAGTGTGATAAAAAAAAAAAAAAATCCTAAATTATTCTGTAAGTCAGTGGAAAATGAGATGGAGAGACTATGGGCAAATGAATCTTTCAAAGGTGTCCTGGTCAAAGGTTTCTCTGCCACTGGTGGGTCGCTGCTAAATGAGTCTGTACTGAATGTGTGTGTGTGTGTGAGCCTCCAACTAGTGCCGAGTTAGGAGGCCCTCTGGTGGATACAGAACTACTATGACACACACACACACACACAAAATCCAAACTGGTCCGTACAATGCTCCAACACACACATTCTTTGCCTTTCTCTATATCGCTCTCTTTCTCTCTCTCACTCACACACACACACACACACACACTCTTACATGAACACACACCTATACAAACACACACTACAACTCTCTCACATGGCCTCACATGGTTGCAACGCGCTCTATAAACACAAACTGAAATAGCACTGCAAAAAACACAACAAACTCTATAACCAACTAAAACAGTCACTGCAAAAGCATTACTCTGCAGGCAACACCTTCAGGCAAAACATGCCAACAGCACAACAAACTGACGAGAAAATGTACAGTACCAACAACACAAACAGCCGATTATACAAAGTGTTTTTTTTCCATGTACAAAAAAAACCACAAAAAAACAAAATAAAATACAGTATAATATTTCATTGTGCCTCTTGCCTATGCAGAAAACCCCAGCGCTGCCTGAGAAGAGAGCAGAGCAGAGCAGGAGAGCAAGGGGAAAACAGAGTGAGAGTGAGAGAGAGAGAGAGAGAGAGAGAGAAAGAGAGGGAGAGGGAGAGAGCGGCTGGGAGACGAGACGGGGAGAAACACAACTTACCTGCTGTTGTTGCAGATGCAGCAGCTCGACTGTGCTTACTTCGCTGCTCGTGTCACCAGCGCTTGATCTCCCATCTCTACTGCCAGCCTCTAATTGGCTGCTGCTTAGGGTGCTCATTCCATTTTGACTCATTGAACTGTTGCTTATTGTCTCTGTGGCCGACTCCTGCATCATCATGATTTAAAACCTAGAAGTGATTAAGAGGCACCGGTTAGGGCTCTTCTTGTTACAATTCCCCCCTTTTCCCTTCGATTTTTTTTTTTATGCTTCCATTATCAAGCCCTCGGTTCCCCTTCTGCAAATTAAAGCATTTAAAGAAGAGGGAGGGGGGAAGAAGAAGTGGGGGATGCAGGAGGAGCAATTATGCATTCATTGTATAAATGAAGCAATACAAAGAGATGCATGTCCTGGTGTTATTTGCAAAGGGAGGGGTTTCTATATGTAAAAATATTTTTTTTTTTTATTCATTAAAATTTGGATATGAAGCATCTGCCTTTACAAAATAAAGTTTTATTGTTATGGTCATGACTAATTTTAATAAAAAGACATTCTTAATGTCTGTATAGCCAGGCACCACAGACAGGAAAATATAAGCACTGGCACACCTAAAATATTTGCCGTCTTGAATCTGTCGGATTTTTAGTGTGTGTCACATCTGAATGAAGTTGCCTAATGACGCAAAGCTAATCATGTAAAATTAAAATTTGGTGGTCGGGAGGAGGAGGAGGAGTCATCAAATCACATGGTGCTGGGCTGGTGATGAACACTCTAATGGGTTTGTCTTTGCTGTGGCTAAATAAAATCTGCCTCGCAGGCTTCGATACAGGCAGGGTGCTCATATGTCATTTACTGGCCTGATTCCTTTTTTGCCCTCTTCTTTAATCAGACCTCATATATTCATTTATTTTTGTGATTTTCAAATAAATAAATAAAACTAGAGGTTGAGCTGCAAACAAACTTTGCAGTTGGAAATTGACTCCACAACACATTTTTAAACAATAGTAAATAAATACAAGATATTGCATTAATTCCATCAGCATTTATACAATAGAGAAAGAAAAAGGAAGAAAAGAAATGGGAAAATCTATCACAAATTCCACAAATGATCATGCTAAAAACAGCATAAATTATGCATATTAGCTCCTTTCTCTCCAGTAATAAATGTTTTATCATTTCCCCTGCATTTAATGCTCTGTACCTGCACTGGGGCAGAGAAGCTCCACCAATATCAGTCAACACTCTCACAATAAATACAAGACACTCACACGGCAACTCAAAATTAATTCCAGAATTAAAGATTTTGTGCTCTTTATGTTGAAAATAATTACTTTTAATATTTAAAACTAATTTGAAAAAATTTAAGATAATTAATATTGTAACTATCACTGCCGTATTTAGGAAGTTTGCTTTTAAAGGCAGCGAGTCATGCCAATTCAATTTCAACAGCGGTTTTGCCACTTTCACATTTACAATATAAACATTTTTACACTAGATAATCCACACACTTGCAACGACAGAACGATGAATGATGATTTTGATTGTGTGTGTGTGCAACTGTGCAGCCCACATGGGTACCATGTGTCTTCTTTGGCCAGTAAAAACTGTTTTAATAGAAGTGGACGTCCTTCACCATGTTGAGAGACGCGCGTGTGTGTGTGTGTGTGTGTGTTTGACGAGGGGCAGATACAGGACAGACCTTAAAAGGATGTCCACAGCCAGGATAAACAGGATCCAGGCAGGGAGAACAAACAGGGCTGAGCTGTTACACAGAGCAGGGCAACAGCTGCCCGGGACACAAGTAAATAGGGACGACGCCAGGACAAGGCATGCTTGTGAACAAACAGGCCCCTGTTTAACACTGCCCCGCTCACTACTGATGGAGAGAGACAGAAAGAAAAAAAAAAAGAGAGGGGGGGGGGGGAAGAAAGGGGCGGGGGGGGGGGGGAGACAGAGGGAAAAAATAAGAGTGAAAAAGAGAGAAAAGGAGAATGAGTGGGAGGGGGGAGACTGGCACAATGTGACATCCAATCCGGTGATGAATCTCAGCATAAGAAACTCAAGGCTGCAGCCGAGATCAGCCAGCTAATAAGTATTCAAATTAGGCATAAATTTTACATGCCCAATGTTTAAAATATTCAGAGAAAGACTGTCTGATTGCCTTTACTACAATTTTATGAACATTCTAATGGAGCCTGGATCTCTCTCTTTTTCTGCTTTCTTTCTTGGACCGGCGATGGATGTTCAGAAAACCTGAAGATATATGAGACAAGGAAATAAGGATTTTTAATAACATCTGTATGCAATGCAAACTACTGTGGAAGTCCAAGAAAAATTGCTGCTTTAATATTAACAAACCAATGAAGTTTGCTTTTAAATGTGATTACTTATGTATAAAACATTAATAGCACATAAAGAAAAAGTTAAAATTTTATTAAATCAGTAGCTGATTTAAAAAATTATCAGGAGCATAATTTGGATCTAATGCACATACAATAAAAATCCAATGCTGTACTTAATCTCTGTGCTATAATCTTCACTCCTTCCTCCAAAATGAAATCTGTGCCATATGTCCAACTGGAACATAATGATAATGCAGATATATGCAAAGTATATTCACAGAGATCAGATGGTGCTTTAACCTTAATGACAGCAGTGAGATAAATTAATTAGCCATCTAAAGGCGGCATTCAAATCTGCCAATTAGAATGTCAATTAAAACACAGCCAGGCTGCAATGATGAGTGGGCTACCGAACTGTGAATCTGATTTTGGGTCTGATGGGATCGTCTCAGGCCGAGAAACAGACATACACATTACCACACACACACACACACACACACACACACAAAACTCATGAGACGGATAGTGACAATATTCAGCACCTGAGGGTTTGACTCTATGCAAGTGTGTATCTACTTTTGTGTTTGTTTGCGCCTACCACAGGTCCTTCATCGCCTGTACCCTATCCCTGAGGGGTACCAGCCCTGATCCTAATGCAGCCTGTCTTCAACCAACTGGGTCGGAAGGAGCCACGCCACCCCCAGCTACAATATCAACTGAAGCTGCTGCTCCAATTTGCAGGTAGCTGTAATGCCACATGAGTGAGGCTGCTGGCTTGCCCGCACGTGTATTGGACATCCCATAATCTACCAGTATCCTGCATTTCAACACACCCACTATTTGATGCTTTTTCCTCAAGCCATAATCTTCCAAGAAGAAAGAACCTAGACTACTTATTATCTTGATCGGAAACAAAGAGGAAGACTATTATTTCTCTGGTAATACGTTGGTAATTCCGCAGATGCATAGCTTTGGGAAGGAAGATGATAGTGATACTAAGTGTTTAGGTTGTGGGGTGGTGGAAAGATAGTGAGAAATGGAGATAACACTGCACTCTAAATTTACTGTCATCAACGATCACTGATGACTCCAACATTTCTATTAAGGCAAAGGTTCAATAAAAAGAAAGGCATCTCCTGATGAAGCAAAGATAGACAAAGACACACACTTTATTTGCAAAGCTTCAGACCAACTCCAGCTTTTGTTTCAGTCCTTGTGCAACCATATCCTTGCTTGCTATTCGTCTTGGGCTTGAGCAAATATTTACGCTTGAATTTTGCACTACACAAACCTGCCTCTTCCATCAGGTATGGAATATGAGCAAGGGTCCTGATGGCACATTTGCCCCAGAGATTGAGAAAATGTCTCCTCTTTCTTACAAGAAGTGCCACAACAATGGTGCAAGAACTGAGCCTTTCATTGCCTCGCACACACTTTCTCTCTCACATACAGACCTATCATTAAAGGGGAAAGAAGCAGCCCTCCATCTTTGTTTGCGAGCTCTAAAAGCCCTTAATGTAGCCTCATTACCTGGCCTGTCTCCCGCTCTATCATGTGCAGTAAACACACACTATGACACTGGCCATCCATCTAGTGAGAATACACAGCTGTCTGCTGTGCTCCAACACTGTCAGGGGAACTTAACACACATGTGCGCGCACACACACACACGATACACTGTTAACACACAACTGGCTTGACGCTGGTTTCGTTCAGAGACTCTGGGCTATCCATGTTCAATGTGAGGATGTTCTCCGCTGTGTCTCTCTCTCTAGAACACTGATCCATTCCCTCATTTTATGTGCATGAATAGCAAAAAACATTTTCATTCGAATGACAAAAAAAAAGGTGGGGGGCAGTGACTGGTAAATCTGTGATCCCAGACGTTTGTTCATTATCAGTTCACATTTCAGGTGGCTGGATGGAAATCTTTTGGTTTGTGAGATCAAAATAAAAAAAAATAATAGAAATTACATTTCACAGTCTGCTGACTCCTCACAGCTCTCTGATCAGGTCGAGATATGGTTACAATTTAAAATAATCACAGATTCTGTGCTTGAGTGAAATTAATTCATCAGTGCCATAAGTTACTATGCATACAAAATAAAGAAGTAACTAGGCAAGGGTAAGGGCTCATATATTCAATACTTCAGATTGCTTAATAAATCAAAGTGCCATATCTGTTGGCAAAAAAAAAAAAAAAAAAAAAGAAAGAGTGCTGACAACCACATTATTTTAAAGTGATAAATTTAATCTAAAACCAAATAACGTAGGGTCAAAAAAAGTTTAAAATAACTTCATCAGAAGTCTTGCATTGTGCAAGGCATACAATAAAATTACGCCTTTAACGAAGCTTTGATCAAGTTTATTTGTGCTTGTACTGTAATTTTTTCTGGCAGCAAGTTGTCACAGTACAGAGACACCACAAGCAGTTTATTACAGCCATCAGTTTCAAGCAGTAAGTTTGCAGTCGGAGATGGAAAAATAACGACTTGGAAAGCTTTCCAAGTGGTCGTTCGACAAAAACCCAGTCCGCTGGATTAAGTATGGCACCCAGGCTGCCGTGCCTTAGAATTAAAAGCTTCCTTTTTGGCAGTAAAGGGCCACCATAAAAAAGCATTAATGACTACTACTTATAAACCTGTGTATGGTAATGGTTTCTGCTGTCTGATAGAGGAATTTCAAAAGTGCTTCACCAGTGAATGAAGATTGCTTTGGAAAGAAGGGGACTGAAGAAATCATATTTACAAAATCAGGAGTGGGGCTAAATGAAAAGAGATGAATGTGAATAATGGACTTTTCTCAGGATTAACATTATTCAAAGCAAAAGAATCAAATGTGGTTATCT